TATTTGGTACAGAGTCTCACTACACAGCTCGGACTTGTAGTGATCCTGTTTTCAGACTGGCCAGCACTGGGATTACAGGCCTATGCCACCATGCCTGGTCTCGGTGGCCAACACAGCATGCTTGGTGTGGAATGTAGTGCCAGGGATCGAACCTAGGTCCCTGGACTTGCCTAAGCAGACACTTATTCTGCTGAGCTACCTTGTCTAGACTGGTAGCCTATCCAGTCTCTATCTTTTTTAAAATGGCATACTGTTATTACTTGCTATAGGTCATTACTTTGTTTTCATAAAAATAAAAATCTGTAGATCACACAAAGGTGAAACTTTTACTCTTTGGGGCCAACTAAAAGCCTTTAAAAGGGCTGGCCAAATAGTCCATCAGACCAAAGTGCTTGCTTAGGCAGAGCACAGCAGCCGGGCTTTGATTCCCATCCTGCCATGCCAGTCCCGCCTCCATGGCATGCTGAGATGACGATTAAGACTGGGCATGGTGGCATGCACCTATAATCCCAGCGCTTGAGTCTGATCAACATAGTGAGACCCTATAAACCTTGTCCTAAATACATAAAAAACAAAGACTTCAGGAAATTCCCATCAGCCATTTTTTTATGTACAAAAGCAAGGAGTGCAATTATTAGGACAAGAAACTCCCCCAAACCTAAAAAGATACTAGAAATGACTCCAACTGTCCACTTCAGTAAGAATCACTACCCATAAATGAGCTAATGTTTGACAAGTGTCATTAAGGTAGGTTGAAAATAGGTCTGACTAAAAATTAAGAACACATGTTTTCAGTAGGCTATATTTTAAATAAAACAATTTATTATTCAGTTATAATTAGTCGTCTATTTTTCTACATAACTTGTGAATTTTTCAACATCAAATATTTTCATCATTTGCTTCTGTTCATGTTTTCTTGACCACTGTCTTCATTGTTCCTTCTACATTGCCATGCCATACCTCCAAAAGAAAAAACCAGCAGTGAAAATCAGTAATTTCAAAAAGTGCCCCCTCAAAAAATGCTGAGAAAAGAAAAACATAACCCAGAAATACAACTTCAAATGGAATTGATTCTAGCCCTATGTAGTTTTATCAGATAATTCTAATCTATCAACAGATGTAGTTGGTTGAGAAGTTAGAATTACTCACCTGAGGCAATGAAGTATTTTTAATAACTGCTGAAGGACTTGTACATTCATTTGCAGCTATCTATAGGCCAAAAAGAAATATTTCACTCATTTCAATAAAAAAATTGCTCTAGATTCAGCAATTGACATCATTAGATTACTGGCATCTCAGTCTTAAAATGATTTCTTCAAAGAAAACCTCTGCTGGGTAAACGGCAAAAATTTAAGTCATCATTGTGCCAGCTATGAAGCTTGTGTTAATATAGTACAGTTTTTGGCTACTGCACTTTACTGAGAAAGGAGACAGACTACACAGTACCTTATTACATGCAATTTTCTTCAGTTATCTTCTATAAGTTCTTGAAAAATATTGTCCACGACTTTCATACATCTTCAAAATGCACAAACTTTGTTGTACCTAGAAATCAAATATTTTAATTCTTATTTGTACTTCAATTTATTTGGCATCTAAATGTGGGAAGAGACCAGTATCAATTATTAGGAACCACAGGCACAATTAGTTAGCAACCATTCAACTCTAGTTCCATAAATGAGTTTTTTTCTAAACTGAAAGTCTGAGTCATCAGCAAGAGTAGAACAACCAGCAGAAACATTTATCATATTCTTCACTGCTATTTATCCTACCATTCACTGTGGCAGTACTGAGAACTTCTTTGAAAGTTCTAGCAGAGGAGTACAGCTACTCCTATACCCTTGACTGAGGATGGGTCCTCTATGAGGGTGGCCACCTGTTCTCTTTACAGAGGATGCAGCATGGGGAGGGACAGGGACACACATGGAGTGTTAAGGGTAAAAGGGGTCACCACCTAGCCAGCCAGATCAGCAGTCAATGGGGTGACCAATGTCACAGCCAAATGGCCTTCACATCTCACTGTGGCACTACTGATTTTAAGAGACAATGGTTCTATTAATGCCAAGCCATTTCTTTTTCTGTCTCATAGTTTGACAAAGATGAACTATTAGCTATGTCAAAGGTAGGAGTATAAAAACAAGCATGCAGCCGTTCACAAAAAACTAGATGGCAGATCTAGTAGCTTTAGAGAAAGGATACCTCATGTTAGTAAGTTGACTGAAAAATATTACATACTGGAAAGGGATTGGCCAGGGTCACAAGTCATATCCTAGAATACCCCAAGAGGATAAGTCACTGAACCAGATAGCTACTGCAAATGATTTATGAACATATACATAGTCGGGCCTTTCACAGCAATATATCGTTTTCATACATGGAAATGCTTAATTTACAGTCAATAGAAATAAAGAATACAAAATACTGGACAAGAATCTTAATTCACGAGAAGTAAACAAAGCATACATTTAAAACTTTAAAAAATGATTGTCTAGAGAGGCCTATGTATAGCCTATGTATATGTCCCACTCCTCTCAAAAACCTAAGGCTGATGGACACACAATTCCAGGTAGTACCTCTGAATGGGTAAGGGGTATGAAACAGGGAACAGGCATTATAGTACTTCTAATATATCAAATATAAATGAATTAGTAGGTTTTTCTGCACTTACTATGTGGTCAAGATGTTCTTCAATTGCCAGGATTCATAAAACTTTTTCCACCAGTACTGAAGGTTGAAGCTTATTTTTTGAGACCGGGTCTCACCTCGTTGCTCAAGATGAGCTTGAATCCTCCTGCCTCCTCCCAGGGCACTGAGATTACAGGCATGCGCCACACCAATTTAGCATGTTAACTGTTTAAAATGGTTTTTAAACTGGGAGATTATTCCCCATCTCTCAGCTGATGAGAGGTTTTTCCTTTTTACATAGTATTTGGGAAGACCTCGTGATTTCTTTTATTCAGAAATACAAGTTTCCAATATAAGTGCAAACATCTAGGATTTTACAAGAATATGAGGGTTAAGGACCTTCTACACTTGCACTTATTTACAAGACAGCTCCCGAGAATACCAAAAATGTCTACCCGTTCGTTTAGACCGATACGGTTAGTAAACTGTACTAAGACCACTCAAAAGGTAGTGTCTTCACACCTAAGAGATAATGAACACCCCCTTTATAAAATGCTCCCCTAAGGAAAAATAAAACCTCTAACTCCGAGGAGCCTGGAGCCGCCAAGATCGCAAACAGCTCTGCTGGGTAAACAAGAGGAACCGCCCTGAGCGCGAGCGGAAAACACACCTCTCGAGTTTTGCTAACTTCTGAGCGAAGGCAGCTGAAACCAGTATTCGCTGCGGAGAAATCAATTAAGACTCGCGGGTGGTTGCCTCCCTCGCTCAAGGGAAGCTCGGGCCGGCGCTCGGGCGGTGGGCAGGGATCCCAGGCCGCCGGGAAGAACCGGCCGCGTCCGCACCCAAAAGGTGACGGGGCTCAGCAGGGAGGGGAGGGCTAAAGCCGGGAAAACTCTCACCTCGGACAGCCTAGGGACCGATCCCAGGGCGCAGCCGCCGCCCTGAGGACATGGTTAACGCGACCCGCTCGCCTCGCCGCTCCCGAGACTGCGTGGAAAAGGAAGCTCGGCGGCGGGTCCGCGCCCAGGCGCCCCGACGCGGGCCACGCCCCCGACGAGGCCACGCCCCTTCCGGTCAGCGGCCCCGCCCGAGGGTGCGGGCCTGCGGCCACGGCGCCGGCAGGTTGGCCCGCGGTGGGGGTGCTAAACTTCCGCGGAGAGGTTTAAAGCTCACGAACGTCTCGGCTTGAGCTATTATCTTTTTTTTTTTTTT